TTGGTGCGCGAGTAGTTGTAGTTGTTGTTGGCGCGCATGTAGTTGTGGTAGTTGTTGGTGCCCTAGTAGTTGTAGTTGTTATTGGCGCGCATATAGTTGTGGTAGTTATTGGTGCACGAGTAGTTGTAGTTGTTGTTGGTGCGCAAGTAGTTGTAGTAGTTATTGGTGCGCGAGTAGTAGTAGTTGTTGTTGGTGCGCATGTAGTTGTGGTAGTTATTGGTGGGCGAATGGTAGTAGTCGTTGTTGGTGCGCAAGACGTTGTGATAGTTGCTGGCGCGCATGGAGTTTGAGTTGGAGCTTCAGTGGCTGGGGCAGGAGTAGTTCCATCATTTCCACTGCATGATGGTTGATCAGCTCCACCGCATGACGATTTAACATCACATTGCAGTAATATCAAATTATATTCCTGTCCACTGGGACAAACGCCAGAACTTATCACAGCACTATTGAGACACTGATACCATTCCGCCTGATTTTGACCAACAACGTAACCCTTAACAATACCATCACAAGGTGCTGCACTAATAGCTCTCGGCGCGGTCGCAACTTCAGCAAGATCTTCAACACAACCTGGATTTTGATCGACGCACATCTTTTTCACACCATCATAGTAGTAAGGGCAATCGATTTGTAGGCTTGCACCATTATAACACGTATAGTAGCTGGTGCAACTGCCAGGCACTATTGTCTTGAAGCCATTCTGTCTATTGCGACACAAAAAACGACTGTATAGGGCATTATCGGCGGCGCGTGCACTTTGACTCAAGTTGGCGGTATTTACACTACCTACTAGGACTAGCAAGGCACTGGCCAATACTGTAATGATAAATAAAAAATTATTAGTTGAATTTCTCACGAAAACAAAGCATGCTTCTTTGGCGTTATTGCCCAAAAAGAGAATATAGAGAAACGACTTCTGTTGTCATAAAAGGTTTTTCCAAAATAAATCCATCGAAACTCGCAGATTTGTGGTCACACTCGTTTGCTCTTGTTATTCTCACTCTATGGTTTGGTAGCTCCGTTCTGTTTCGTTTATGATTTGTACACCGACTTAAAACTTACCGAAAATATTCTTCATTTTCAACTCAATGAAACCGCACTTGGCCACTTCTTTAATATTTTAATGTGCTTGCCGAAAATGACTGTAGTAATATGTTGCCTACAAGGCTTGATATTAAACTATATTGAAACTTGCGAAATTCCCCCACTTTTATACGATATTAATTGCGCGATAAGATCTCTTTGTTTTCGGCTGATAAACGAAATATCAATTTGTGAAATGATAAATTTGAAAGAAATTTTTATATGCTGCCTATCAATTTATTTGCGACCTTTAAGTAATTAATATTAATAGAGGGGTAGGTATGTGAGCAAATGGTTTCATTTAGAAATTGTAAGAGATGTAGAAATATAGAATTGCTCCGAAGCGATCATGTAATGTAAGAGTTCAAGATAACCAAAAATAATTGAGAAGGGAGTGCTTAAGAAATGATTGTGGAGCTTCTTATTAAAGCAATCAGCTTCGATTAGTGCTTATAGCTAGATATATTCAGTTAGTATAAGACCTAAGTTTGTATTGTGGAGAATTTGTAGTGTGATCCCACTCAAAACAGGTTTCCGAGATTTTTCAGATTTGCATCTCATCCTCAAGAGAAAGCAATTATGTCGCACAATATTAAGGAGGTAGTGAGGAATTCACTAATTCCCCTATACTGACATACTCTCCACGAACTCGACGAAATGACTAGATACTATTGAGCTCAATAGATTTGTGGCTGGCTCTCTCTCAGAAATTTCAAATTTAGTGTGAAAAGTTAATTATCATTTGATAGAACATTATTCGGCATTTTTATTTTTTATTTTATTTTTTTTTTTTAAAGATCATCTCTTTCAAATGTTGATCGCAGCGACGTCTCAGATGGGCCATCCGTTGGGTTCAATTTTGGTAGCCAATTGATCGGCTCAAAACGTTAAATTATCTGCCCACTAAAGTTTTATTTCCATAAATCCATTGACTGCTGCGATGTGTAGGAAGTGACACTGTCTTCTTGAAACCAAACGTCGTCGAGATCACGAGCTTCAATTTCATTTATCAAGTAGTTGGTAATCAAGGTGCTATAACGGTTAGTACTGACGGCTACGTTCTCATCGGCATAATTTTTTAAGAAATATGAATCCACCGGCACACAAACAACAAACCGTTGTTTTTTCCTGTATGAAATGCCAACTCTTTTATCTCTTTAGGTTGCGGCAATTTACATACCCATTATGGCAGAAATAGGTTTCACCGCTCAATAAAATTTGGCGCGTAAACGTCGGATCTTCTTGGAACGTTTCAAGAACACAACGAGCGAAGCGCTGTCGCTTGGTAAGGTCAAGCGGCTTCAGTTCTTACACAAACTTAGAAGTATACTTGAATTCTCGTGTGCTAAGGTGACTGCCATTTTAAAGAAGATTCGAGTAATTGAGTTAGAGAGATTTTGCGCTAAGCTGACTGCCCTTTTGAAGAAGATTGGAATCATTGTGATAACGATTAGGAACTACCATATATACAAATTTTAACTATATGATTTCAGTAGATCTGTAGAGCTTTAATGTACGACAGTTCGAAAATATATGGCAGAACAGCTCAGCCGACCTGTAAGATACGAAAAGTACTTATATTTGATGTAATATGTGACAGCACTAAGCAAACTGAAATGCGATTGCTAAATACTTGCAAGCCAAAATCCGAATGAAGGAGGAAGAGCAATGAGCTCAGAGGGAACCTAAACAAGTGGCAAACGTTAAGATGCCATTGTATTCCCTATAGAATGGCTTACCAGTACTTTGTAAAGCTACAGTTGATATTTAATGTGTGTCATAACAACAAAAACTGCACATAAAAATAACAAACCATACGAGGAGCAGGAAGCAATGTGCAAAGGTATGGCTTGAAATGCGAGTAAACTCGGTTGGTTAGGTGGAAAATTACGCTTGGGATTTGCTTATTTAACACTTGCTCTTCGTATCGCATATATAGTAAGTGTAGATTAACTGCTGAACACCTGTAATACAAATATACTTACATACATACATATATAGTATGTACACGCACTAGTCGAAAAGGAAATTGACATTAATACTAAATGAGCCTGTGTATATCGTTTATGACTTCCTGCGCAAATGACGGCATGTCGATGTTGTTGCTCGTAGGCTTTCTGGGAAGTCACAAAAGTGGCAGACATATTTGTATACTTTGCTGTTGCCATATATACGCTTACATAAATATATTCGTTCTGCCTACATAAATATAATTTATTTATAGTTTTTCGACTGCTCAAATTGTGGCTAAGTTTTATTTTAATTTCCCCATGGAAACGCAAATGTTCAACGTAAATTTATCTTAAGTTTATATACTCAAATATATTTCGAAATTCAAGTATAGTATGTTACGTGTTTGGTTTGGTTGCGATATTAAGTGCAGTATAACTTTTATTAGTTTGAGCACAGCCGGAAAGCAATACTTGGCCGTTGGAATTTCAGATCGCAGGCGGCCGCACTAAAAATCCACTAGCCCCATTACACTTCCGAGTGGTAACCAAATTAAGTCTTATCCAGCAACTCATTGGATTTGATTAAAAAAAATTGTTTTTTTGTTTTCATTCAAGCTGCCGAAGTCTTCTAAGTTGGAGCATTGAGAGCCATCGCATTCGCAAGGATAATATGGCAGTGTTTCAGCATTATCCGCGCAAGACCTGCATCTTGACGAATCAATTTTTCTGAATTTCTGGATTTAGCTACTTAAAGGTAGATGCCCTCTGATGACTACTACAATGTTAGAAGTAAAAGTTTTACTCTGTCCAGTATGATAACTACCCCAAAGTAATGTTGTGATATGCCCTGTGTTGCTAGTATTCCAAGGCCTGAAATGTTCCCGTGGTGTCCATTGCTTCAAGCAACCCTTGATGGCGTTACATAATTTGAGCCAGCTTAAGGGGTCAGTAGGGTAATCTTAAAAAAAATTTTTTTTTTTTTTTGCATTTTCGGTTCCCTTATACCCTTAGAATTAATAGAATTAATGTAGAAACCCACTTTACCATTGAAAGGTTTCGAAAAGGCAAAAAAATAATAATATCGCTTTATTTCAACGTTGATGTTTATCTTTGAAAAAGGTGAAAAAGCTACTGAGAGTTGAGTCATTGCTGCTTGCATAACATAACATAGTAAGGTTTAGTATTGGCTCCACGAATAACCTTAACTGCCGGGGCGTATGATACTTGTGTAGAGCCAATAGACCATATGGAGTAGCAAAACCCCACTTTGAAGCAATGTTCGAACTGTTCCGAGAGCCCTACTCTGAATGTGTTTTCGATATATTTGACAGAGCCAACATTAATTATAACACTTTAAAAGGAAAGTTTAAAAAAAAGTTATTTACTACTTTTGATATACTGAAACCGTTTATTTTTTACGATCTCAATATGGACTGAGCAAGATAACTTAGTGATAAATTCAGTAAAGATGTTAAGTTAGCTTATATGTCTAATCCTCGTATCCAGAGTAAATGCAGAATTTCACACGAACAGCAGTAAACGCTAGTTTTTTGTGTTCCCAAAATTCCTAGGTATGAGTCAGCAGACCTTTATAGATCGAAGAAATTTTAAAAGGAGACTAATATCAATCCCAAAGACTTGGCAAGCTACACCGAAGGTCTGCCTGCAGAGAAGTTTCAACTTCAGTCCGAATAAATAAGAATACAGTTGAGCAGAAAGTGCCAAGATGACAAAACCTCAACTTACTCCATTCACTTCGGCATGCAAGATGATTTATAGTCTTAACGATTATGAGCCTATGGGAAATTGTCTTGTCAGAATAATTAACCTTGCAACGATATGAAGTTTGCAAAACAATTCAGAGGCCAGGGTGAGAAAGGTTTCGCAGTCGCACAAACTCTGATTTTTGACCACTGTTTATCGAACGCACTGGAAGTCCATAGAAGAAGTAGATAAACTCTCCCCAGCGAACTCTGAGGAACCCTGTGTTCAAAGCTATACACCTACCACTCTCTTGATGACAGTTTTTCTAACTGAAAGAACACTGCAGTGATCTAGTCACCGCAAATTGCTTTCTGGTAAGTAAGCATAGAAGTTGTCATCAAGTGAAAAGTACGCGATAGAATGATCCATATTGTCATATTTGCTATGGAAGTAGTAGATTACTTCAGTCAGTATTTCCCCCCGGAGACCCCTATTGTAACCAGTTTCTTTGAATCTAATAGCAACCATTGCCGCCTAAAATGCAAAATAACCTAACATCAATTTTCACAAGTTTACAGCTGACGGAAAAACGATAAATAAAAACCACTGAAACAAAGTTTTTGTTATAAAATGGTTATATATATTTTATCATATACTCATAGTGTAAAAAATTAAATTTTATTTATTTATTTATTTATTTTTTTTTTTTGTTTGTTTTTTGCCTTTGAGGTGTATCTATTCTCCGCAAAGGCTCAGAAGATACGTTTAAAGAAAATATCGCAAAAATTTATTTTCTGTCATAAAAAAAACCACCCGAAATAATGTTTTTTATGTGTACAATATGAAGCCATATTATAAAACACACGGATAACTTCTACTATATACTCTAATACACATTATGTACATACATTACATAAGACATATATCAGATATGCTCTTAAGAACACATATCACTCCATAACCTTCATACCCTTGTGGCATTTATTAATGGCGTAAAGTTTTTAATGAGAATGTGCATACTTAATTGAATGTTACAGGCAAACTGTCAACGACAATCTTATGACATTCCACGAAGGTAAACTCACACTCGTGTTAACAAATTTGAAGTATATAGAATATATGGCACGGAGATGACAACAAGCCTTCCAAAAAAGTGCAAATAATTATTTTGAAGTTTTCAGCGTTTTAAAGAATTTCCATTAAAGTATACACTTTTTGAAGTTAAATAAATTCTACACCCTTGCTTAGATTGTTCAGAAAGACTGCAATTTTTAGTCTCTTTCCACTTCATGACAAAACGGTACTGATTGCTTTATAAGAATAAATACTTTTCTGCAAGACATATGGTGTTAAGCCGGTCCTTAGTCCTAAAACTGGAATAAATTTAACAGTTTATTCTGAAAGCTTTTGTGAAGGTAATCCCTTATTA